GTTTACATAATCATTAAAGACAATCTACGTTGTTGTTGCACTCAACAGAAGTAAACTTTGTTCTCCAGGTTTAAAAGAAGTAAGGTTCGTAAACTTATCCAGGATTACACAAATTTGGATCCAATATGGTAAATCTTAGGTCTGTAGATTCACGATAAACCAGACCCTCTCTTCTCTACCATACACTTTAATCGATATATTATACTCCAATCTATACTCCTCTGTTTTAAGACCCCCCCCCCCATCCCCCGGCATTACCTTTTTTGAATAAAATCCAATTTTTTTCATTCAACGAGTTTAGGCTATAAAAAAGCCTTTGACAACATATTCAAATTTAGTCTAGACTCTCGACACGTTTTTTTGGTCAATCTCAGAGGAAATAGCAAAAACATCGAAATTCTTGCTTGTCCCCCCCTTGCACTCCCCCTTCCTCGTTTTCTATAGTTATGATGTTCTATAAATCCCTAGTGAGTGTTTTCCATTGATTTCCCCGAGTATCTTCACACTCTTTATTATGGTTTGTATTTGTCCTAAACCATTGGGATAGGAGGGACAGGATAGGAGGGGACAGGATAGGAGGGGACAGAATAGGAGGGGACAGGATAGGAGGGGACAGGATAGGAGGGAACAGGATAGGAGGGAACAGGATAGGAGGGAACAGGATAGGAGGGGACAGGATAGGAGGGGACAGGATAGGAGGGACAGGATAGGAGGGGACAGGATAGGAGGGAACAGGATAGGAGGGAACAGGATAGGAGGGACAGGAAAGGGGGGATGGGATAGGAGGGACAGGAAAGGGGGAATGGGATAAGGGCAGGGGATAGGAGGGAATGGGATAGGAAGGACAAGAAAGTTGAGAATGGGATAGGAGGGACAGGAAAGGAAGGAATGGGATAGGAGGGCAGGGGATGTGACAGGAGGGACAGGAAAGGAGGGATTGGGATAGGAGGGACAGGAAATGAGGGAATGGGGTAGGAGGGACAGGAAAGGAGGGAATGGGATATGAGGGAAAAGATTTGACAAGGATCAGATAAAAAAGCAAACTAATGAATTCATACATGGATGGGACGGATTAAATAGGATAGGGATAAGACAAGAATAGGGAAAGACTAGGATAGATATTTTACAATGATATGATAAGAATAGGATAAGAATAGGATAAGGATTAGATAAGAATAGGATAGTGATTAGATAAGAATAGGATAAGGATTAGATAAGAATAGGATAAGAATAGGATAAAGATTAGATAAGCATAGGATAGTGATTACATAAGAATAGGATAAGAATAGGATAAGGATTAGATAAGAATAGGATAAGAATAGGATAATGAGGAGGGATGAGGAGGGATGAGGAGGGATGAGGAGGGATGAGGAGGGATGAGGAGGGATAAGGAGGGATGAAGAGGGATGAGGAGGGATGAGGAGGGATGAGGAAGGATGAGGAGGGATGAGGAGGGATGAGGAGGGATGAGGAGGGATACGGAAGAAATGTAAGAAAAGATTGAACAGGTTTTAAAAGAAAAAATATCCCAATTAATTTTTTTATGGTTTACTGTTTAAAAAGTATTTTAATATATTCAATATTTTATATTATTGAGACATCATGGATATAGTTATCTATATCTTCATATATTGAATGGAAACATATAAGGTATAAGTATTGGTAGTTATACTATAAAGATCATCTAATGAAACGTATTTTATGACAAGATAAATGCAGGGAATAATATTTTTCACATTTTTTCCAAAAATTATCTAAAAACTTAGCTTTCATCATTTTAAAAAATGACAGAAATTTTCTCTTTTTGAAGAATATCAACCCCTGAACAACTAACTGTTTTCACTACATTGGATCTAATCGTTGACTTTTACTAGAGAAAATATCGATTTCTCAACATCTGATTTTTTTAGGATTTTCAAAAGGAAAATCAAGCATATCAACGAGTAGCAATCTATATTTATCAAAAATAAACTTGTTTGGGTTGATTTAATTTACAGGATACTTTTTTATTTCCTGGTTTTTGTTTTCTGTTTTCTGTTCTGTGTTCCCTGTTTTCTGTTTCCTGTTTCCTTTTTTCTGTTTCCTGTTTTCTGTTTCCTGTTGTCTGTTTCCTGTTTTATGTTTCCTGTTTTCTGTTTCCTGTTTCTTGTTTTCTGTTTCCTGTTTTCTGTTTCCTGTTTCCTGTTAACTTTATCTATATTATAAAAACACAGTAAGTTTCAGTGAGACTCATACGCCGTGGAAAATGAAGACGATTGTTAGGCTCAATTAATGATTTTAGATAGACCAATGTTAAATTTAAATTATACAGCGAACTTCATAGAAACTTTATAATTAATAACATGTTTAAACTATTTGATTTAAAAACATCAAGTACACATAAGATTACTTTAATGTCGTCTTCCTATTCCACGGGTCTCACAGTTAATAACCAGATATGCTAAACAACTGAACAGTCTTGATTATCAATTCTGATTCATTATTTTACTTTTTGGTCTGGTTGATACATTATCCTACATTTTAGTCTGGTTGATACATTATCTTACATTTTAGTCTGGTTGATACGTTATCTTTCATTTTAGTCTGGTTGATACGTTATCTTTCATTTTAGTCTAGTTGATACATTATCTTACATTTTAGTCTGGTTGATACATTATCTTACATTTTAGTCTGGTTGATACATTATCTTTCATTTTAGTCAGGTTGATACGTTATCTTACATTTTAGTCTAGTTGATACATTATCTTACATTTTAGTCTGGTTGATACATTATCTTACATTTTAGTCTGGTTGATACATTATCCTACATTTTAGTCTGGTTGATACGTTATCTAGCATTTTAGTTTGGCTGTTACATTATCTTACATTTTAGTCTGGTTGATACATTATCTTACATTTTAGTCTGGTTGATACATTATCCTACATTTTAGTCTGGTTGATACATTATCTTACATTTTAGTCTGGTTGATACATTATCCTACATTTAGTCTGGTTGATACATTATCTTACATTTTAGTCTGGTTGATACATTGTCCTACATTTTATTCTGGTTGATACGTTATCCTACATTTTAGTATGGTTGATACATTATCCTACATTTTAGTCTGGTTAATACAGTTAAACCCTAAATAAGCCATACATCGAAAGAATTCATGAAATGTCGCATTCTTCACTTTCTGATAATGGAATGTTGCAGATATTTACTTTTTTAATTAAATTATTACATGGAGCTCTTTAAAACTATTCCCGCATATTCATGGCTATTTATTCATTTTTGCAAATACTGGTTGGTACATTATCTTACATTTTAGCTTGGTTGATATTTAAAAGAATTAACACAATTTAAAAGTCGAATTGATTACCCATCAAAAGCAGAAAGTTAGGAATCGGCCTCTTCGCTTGCCTTCTCATTGTTGACTTTAAAGATTAACTTACCTAAAAGAAAAAAAATATTATTAGAAGATTTTAAATTTGAGAATAAGTTTTTATTAAAATCAACAAGTCCGGTTTCAGGGAAGCCCTTTTTCTAGTTAAATTAAACTAAAATTATCTATCTATCTATCTATTTATCTATCTATTTATCTATCTATTTATCTATCTATTTATCTATCTATTCATCTATCTATTTTTCTAACAAACTATTCTATCTTTATATTTAGATAATTTATCTATCTATCTAGTTTCTGATTTATATGTCTATCTATCTGTCTCCAGTTTGGTTTCTAGTTTCTCTCAATATTTAATTGGAAATACAACACCATCCCCCCTTCTCTCTCCTTCCCCTCCCTCCACCAACCATAAGACCCCCCCCCCCTCCCTCGGAACCTCTCACCGTGTAAATATTTTGATTAATCTCCGATATTCTTCTCAAAATATATATTGTGAGTATATATCCATCTATCTATCCATCTTTCTATCTATCTATCTATCAAACTATCTATCCATCTATCTATCCTACATTCATGTTTTTCTATTTATCTATCTGTATCTATTTTCCTACTCTATACCTAATCTTATAGTTCCATCCACTCTGGGCTGTAGTAAATTTGAATTCGAACAGGACCTGCCCAGTTTGTACCGCCCTGCCAGATAACAGCGTGTACTGACTCGTGTACGTCGCCCTAACCAGACTAACATACATACTAACATTCTTGGCATAGTCCCGTCGGAGGGCTAACTAGACAACTCCCATGGCGCGTTCAGACTTTTCACAGTACTCGGCCTAATCCTAGACCTATTTGACCGACCCCACTGGCTTAGTCCACCGTGCATCTTACATATTTACTATAGTACATACATCTAATCTGTTTATGTAACTGTATATTTATACTTTTCGTAGCCCTCGATATTTCAATTTCAGAAATTCAGAGCATTTGTTTTTAACTTTAGTTTTTAAGAAGTAATATTTTCGCGAGAACTTGATACCTTTGGATCACCATGAACTCGGAAATATTTGATCTAAGTACCATTTTTTTGACAATGTATTGTTAAACGTTTGGTTTAATTGTGGATATGGGGGGGGGGTGTAGTTGAATTCTTAAAATAGTTAGGTTAAATCGGCAAAAAAATAGTGTACATATTTCTATCTATAAATTAAGCGTTTCCCGCAAAATTTTCTAAAACACTTGATTTTTCAGCTTTATGATTTATCAAATTTTTCAATTTTTTCTTGAGTTAAGCAGCAATTTCTTGTTTATTATTTTAGGAATACAGTAAACATTACAATTCACCTCGTTCGATAAAATTATCCTATTTTCTTAGTCACCCGCTAGCTCGAGAATGTTATCTTTGGATTACAACTAGTGTATGAAAGCTTCCAACACATGTCTTTCTAATGGAGGAAAAAACAAACAATAGTTTCCATTAATCCTAGCTCACCGAATTCTAAACCATCAATAGTGAACGTTAGTTTTTTTTGTTGACTTATCAAACGCTTTTAAAAAGTCCAAACTCAATTATGACAAAATTATTTTTCCCACCATTTTTCTTTAAATAAATACCTGTTGAAATCTGTCGTAAACAGTTGGCTGCAAAAGCATTCTCAACACCTGATCCGATTCAGCGCTTCCAAGACCGTAGGAATCAATTTTGAATTCGCGGATTTTTTCTTTAAATTGCTTGATTCTCCCAACAGATGTCTCACGTAGACTTTCCAAATTCTAGTTTTTAGAATTGCCGCTAGGTAGAGATTGTAGCTTTCTCCGTCTTCCCTCAGGGGAAAGATAAAACCATTTAATAATATAATAGGAGGATTAACTCTCATGATATCAAGGTAAGAACTGTAAATATGTGGTATAAAAATTAAGAAACAATAAACCATAAAAAGATATACAATTATATGTTTTTGTCATTGACAAATTGCAATATCTTAACGAAAACACAAACACCGATAACAATTAACAATTGTTTTATTACACAATTTTAATGTTTCTGAATAACTTCATGTTAATTGATGTTCAATAACCAAAACAAATGGGTTATTGCAAACAAGACTATGATTGTAACGAAAAATAATGTTAAATAGTCTAAAAAATTTGACAATCAAAATTTAAGGTTTCTGGATTTTAAGAGAAAGCAAACACGCAAAAAAAAATTCTGTTAATCCTTAGAAAACTAATAAAAAAATAATAATAACTTTTAACAAATTTAAAACTACATTTAGGGAGGAGGGTTTTTAACACCAATTCATTCCTTTTGATTAAGATTTGAAAAAAAGATATGAAGATGTATAAAATAAAAATAAATTGTTTTTCAATTTCAAGCTTAAAGTGGATAAACAAGAAGAAAACATAAAACTTGAAAATAAAAAACAGCTCGAGTTTAAATCATTTAAAGATAAAGTATTTTGATATCACATTACTTCTTTAGAAAGAATGGCGGCTGATATAAAAAGGTAAAAATGTAGAATAAGAAAAGTTTAAGTGTTGGATAACATTAAATATTAAAGTAAGGATGAATTCTTAAGATGATTCTAAGTGAGATATTACTTTTTAATACATTACTTGAAACTTTCTGTCTTTTCACGTTTTTATTTCGGGTTTTTATCCCAGTTTTAAAACTTTTATCCTGAGGGGGTGAGGATGGTAAAAAAGAGAAGGAATGGTGGGGCGGGGGGGGGGGGG